CGTCACATGACTTCCGCTGTCGTAACAATATATTTGTGATAAAATTAGGTAAACTAAATATCCCCCCCCCACCCCACCACACACACACATTGTCTATTTCGGATTCAAATCAGAGGTTCTCCTCAGTGGCTCGGCTATAAGTCGGGTTTCGATGCCTGTGGTGGGCAAAACATAGATAGCCCATCGTGTAGCTTTGAGCTTAACAGCAAGTCCAACAAACAAACAAAATCAGATGCTTCTAAAGCTAGCATTTCAAGTCAGTCTATCTATCAAATTATAACTTTTAGATAATATATTGTTGCAAAATATTTTCACATGCAGAATTTATAACAGTTCATAGGGGCGCTACGTTACTCTATTTTTTGGTGGTAGAAAACATAAACATCGACGAATTTATTATGTACGAGTAACCAGTAGTGTCAATGATGTTTAAATATCAATTCATTTGACTTATAATGCTCAGTGTATTCTGAGAAATATACGTGAATTTGTAATGATTTTATACATAATTTTATTTCTTCTTTTTGTTTTTTTCATTAGAACTATAATTATTTTGAAAAGAGTTCAATGTAACAACAGTAACAGTTTAGTGGCCAAAATACCATTTGTCAAAGTTATGGCAATTATTGGATCTGGTAGGTTTACACCAAGCTCTGTTTCTGTTAAACATTAATCATTAATAAATTATAATAAAAATAAGTAACATTAGAGTTAACCACTAATTGTTAATATTGTATGATTAATCAATATAATGAACATTTTTGGATTGGTAAAAATAAAATGTAACACTAACAGGTCTGTACACTTAGCTAGTAGTTTGTAATACTGAAGAAGTTAGTACCGCTACTGTTTCTAAGCTGCTAGAACCAGCCTTAAAATTTAAGCACTCGATCTGTTTATATATATATATGTATATTTCATGTACCTTATCAAGAACCAGAATTTTGTCTTTCAATAAGGTACTTCTACTATTAACCCAACTTTAGATATCAGGTGTGGAATCTTATTTCGTGTTTTGACCATTATTTATGTCAGTCATTTGCATGACAACAGACTATGGTTAATATTTATAAATTCAGGCTGGTATCAAAATTCTTAAAAAAGTCATAATACTGAGAATGTTTGTTGTATTTAGGACGATCAGGACAGTGTAGGAAACTCATCCAAAATGTGAAACATGAATTTCTGTATACCAAAATGTAAGGTGCTGTACTTTGGGCATGAAAATTTTGAAAAGGACATGAAAAGATCAGCAGTATTGTTAAATATTATATATATATATATATATACATATATATATATATATTTCATTATGATTAATTTTATTAAGATAAAGCATGAAGTTTGGAGCTGGGTGTGTAGCTGTGTTTAAAAAGTAAATCAAGCTTATTCAAATATATCTAAAGTATTTTAAAGTTAGAAACTTGTTTTAATAGGCTGTTTCTTGAGGACTTTCACCATGCTAGAAATATCACCATTATGAATGTTTGTTTGTTAAATATTAATTGGGTATAATCAGTTAATGAGCTAAACAATTATTCAGTTAGAAAATTTCACAAATTGCCCAGCTCTCGTAATAAATAAACTTGGAACCCCATATCCAATCTTGTTTTTTGGCAGCAATATTTCTCTTGTAGTATTATAAAACTGTAGTATGCCTTGCCTCATTATATGATACATACACCAGTTTGTCCTGGTGTTTGGAGGGAAAGTTTCAAAGGGCTGAATGGCCTTCTTTCAGTTTGATCATTTTTAAATTATTATGGTCAAATTTAGCATTATGAACTAAGCAACTCAGTCATTTTTGTGTCATTGACAATAACATTTTCAGTTTAATATTTTTACTATGTTAAAAGTTATATATATATATATATTTACTGGTATGTTTTATGTGATTTTAAATGACATTTTTCAATTTTGGTTAAATTCACTCCCCTATTAATTTACTTATGAATCTTCTGATTATCATTTATTGTAAAACTATTAATATTCTAGTTTTTTATAACTTATCACATGACAATACAAATTTTTAAATTTTTATTGAAATTTTACTGAGTCACTATAAATGTCTAAGCAGAATCTGTTTTTAATATTTTGGGGCTGGAAATGATTTATGGGGAATTCCTTTATACTAATTGTATCTTATAAATGGTATTTAATATAATTAAGAGTTTTTATATACAGTGATTTAGATATCAGTCTAAAATCTCATATTGACATTTTTAGCAAAAACAAGCAATTTTTTTTTAAATATTTAACTGATTACAAATTCAAAACTAATTGATTATGAACAAAAAGCCTCATTTCACTGTCAACATCAATTAGGAGTTCATGATTTGTCATTAATTTTTTTAATCCTCTTAAGTATTCACAAAATTACCCCTGAGGATCCATCAGCAATTTATTTGATAAAACCCACAATTACAGTATAATGTAAAATATAAATACATAGTTAAAAATAAATACCATGCGACTAAAATAATATGCTTAAAATAATAAAGTTTCCAAGTAAGTAAAATTATTGTTAACCTTGTTTAGTATTACAAAAGCAATTTTTTATGTTTTTTTTTATCTTAAACAAGATTGGAATGAAAATAAATTGAAAAGTTGAAGTCTTTGGTGTCATTTTATCATAATCTGATGAATAACACCAATAATATATGTATATTCAGAATTTATTTATTTTCATTCTTTTTATATCATACATGAAGAACTATTGTGGGTTGAAACTGTTGAATTTTTTTATAATTTGATTTTGAAATTACTGTATACAGGTGGACATACATCAGAGATTATCCAGCTGATCCACTCACTGAGTTATACCTATTATCCACGAATTTATGTCATTGCATCTTCTGATAAAATGAGCCAAGATAAAGTTCTTGAGCTCGAACAAAAGGTAAATAAAATAGTTTGTATGTTATATTAGCTACGTTTTATGTAAAGTAAGTATAAAAACAGGTATGTTATTTTAACTTTTTATTTTTTGCATGGAAGCTTGTGTTGGTTAAAAAAATGTTTTTCATCTATCTATGTATTTAATCTATGTTAAAGTACTCCATGATTTTTTAAAATCTTTTGCTACTGTGTGAGCTTGAAACAATATTATTATAATAATATATATATACATATAAATTAGGATATATCAAAATTGAGAAAATTGTAGTTATATAATATATCTATATATGCAAAAGGGAAGTTAGACACACACATTTCTACATTGAGCTATGGTCCTCTAGACCAGGGATTCTCAAACTGTGGTACATGGAGCTAATGTCGGTGGTACATGACACAATTAATATAAAAATCATAAAATTTGTAATATTCCCTATCTGAGCTTTCCACATACTACTTTCCTCATTTATAGACTCACCTCTACTCACATAGACTAACCAGTATTTTCTTCCCTTCAAATTGACAAAAATGGTACCACATATTCTTCAACTGTACCAGAAAAAACAATCGCATCCTTTGCATTAATGGGTAAATGTTAAAAATATAAATTTTTGTTACTAGGTTTTTTTTATCCTTTTTTTAGAAATTAGGCCTGGGTTTGTAATTTTCAAAACTTAAACAAAAAGTAGTGTGCAAGCCTGAAACGTTTGAGAACCTCTGTTCTAGACATTACACAAATTATGTGTTCAGGTGTATGTATACTGGCTACGTTTAATGTTCTTTTCCTTATTACTCTGTTTTTTACTTTAACATTACAAATTAACAGGACAAAAAGCATAAGCATCATCTATTGTAACATGAACTCATTATTGTCTTAGTGCATATTGGTTTGCTATTAGTTTTTCCTAGTTCGTAATATAGTTTTGTTTTCATTGTAGTTACAAGTACATGCAACTCAACAGCATTGTAAAGAACATTATCAAGAGTTCTGTATTGAAAAAATTCCACGCAGTAGGGAGGTTCACCAGTCATGGATTACAACAGTTATCTCCACTATATATTCTATCCTTCATTCAGTCCCTTTACTTCTCAGGCACAAACCAGATATGGTAAGTTCTATGTATCAATATTTACTTTGAGTCTGATCAGTTATGACATTCATATTACATATATTCTTATAAGATCGTTTGAATACTAGTTTGTTCTTAGTGTTGTAACTCTTGCTAAACAAAGTGTACTTGTTTTCTAAGGATCATTCTTCATCAAGAGAATAGATTATCCTTGTTGAAAAATGGTTTTTCTTAGATTAAAAATTAAAAATAGGTGATGCAAGGTAATTTTTGTTATTCATGTAGTCTTTTGTGTTGTTAAAAAATGCCTCACTTACTAGTGAGTTCACTATTTAGTTCAGTCAATATAGTACTTGCCTGGTGTGTAAAAGGTCTTGGATTAAAGTTAGAAGTGAGGAAATACATTCTGAAAAACTAAATTACCATATTAGTACTTGATTAGTACCCATCCCATGACTCTGAAATTAAGCCAGAGGATTGGCTAGTAATTACTAAGCATAGTATTCATACCTCATTGAAAAAAATTTATAAGAAGTGAATATTTTCTAAAAATGGATTTTTCTGGGGAGTACTATATGGGAAAAGTGTTCAGATTGTGCTGATATAAATTGTAATGTTTTAATATATTAAAAGTGGTACCCTTTATTGAAAAAATAATAGCTTTTTTTTTAAGAACTCCATTTTTTTAATATTATATTTACAAATTACATCAATAAAGATAATCAAACCCTTTTGTACAGCCCTAGTTAAAGTCGTGATCTTGTTGTGAAGAGAAAACATTTATTTAAAATTGTGTTCTGTGATAAAGAAATAGTTGTTGCACATACGGTAGTTATTTTTCTAATTGTCTGAATTTTGAACACCCAAAGTTTGAAATTTTGTTTGAGATGCCATTTATTAGATGGCGCCACATTGCATTTTATTATTTCAGTCACTTAAGTAGATAGATACATATATACACTCTATGTCCATTATAGTAAGATAGGGGAAAAGTATAGTAGTTTGACTTGTTAAGAAGTAATTTACATGCAAGCACTAGTTAGTTGACCCATTAGATGAGTTGGTAGAGCATTACTTGGCATAAATGTTAAAGTCATTTGTTGCATCTTGACTTTTCCAACAAACATAGTCACATATTTAAGAAAAAAATCTTGTTTGTACAATAGTTGATCAGTGATTGCCTGTATATAGTTTACTTTTACAACACTGCTTTCATGATATTAACATTTTATATCATAATTATAGTGCTTGCATTGCGATGAAATTGTACAAGACTGCTTCCATGATATTGAAATTTTATATCATAGTTCATCATAGTGTTAGCATCGAGCTGAGCACAAATTAGGTTTCATTATATTTTTTCTAATGTTTATTCAATGCAAATAAAATGTTTTTTATTAAAACACATGAAATCGAAACATTTTGGAGATATTTTAAGTTCTACCTTGTAACTATGACTTTTTTCAGATAGATCATTCAAAGACGAGCAGTAGAGAAAGTTAAAAAGATTTAGAAAAATTATCTGTTAGTATTAACTGGACATTAGTGTCTGCATTAATATTCCTCCACAAGTGATATCAAATAATAGTAGCGTTTCTTGTTTATCATTTGCCATTCTAGTTTATATCAAATCTGTTTGAGACCACACACTTATATTAGCCAATGTCACACAACTAGGAAGTAGTAATTACATTTCCTTGAAGAATACAGTGCTTAGCACATTCTGGGAACCCTTTTCAAGAACACTTCTCTACAAGATTCAATAGTTTTCAAAAAACTAAGAAACTCTAGCATTTTTAAGTAGTTGATTATTGTTTTTCTGGAATAAAAAGTGTCTTGAACCATTCATTACCAACAATAATATTGACTAAGTATCAGTCTGCCTAGTTAGCCAAAACTAAATAAGCATAAGCTTTATTAATTAAGAGATTGGAATTTTTAATGCTGAAAATGATTTATATTATTATTCAGTGTCAAGGTCTATTAATGTTTCAGTTCACATCGAGAGAAGCCAGTGTGTAGAGTATATTTTCAGGTTATATGGACAGAAGCCAGTGTGTGGAGTATATTTTCAGGTTATATGGACAGAAGCCAATGTGTGGAGTATATTTTCAGGTTATATGGACAGAAGCCAGTGTGTGGAGTATATTTTCAGGTTATGTGGACAGAAGCCAGTGTGTAGAGTATATTTTCAGGTTATATGGACAGAAGCCAGTGTGTGGAGTATATTTTCAGGTTATGTGGACAGAAGCCAGTGTGTAGAGTATATTTTCAGGTTATGTGGACAGAAGCCAGTGTGTAGAGTATATTTTCAGGTTATGTGGACAGAAGCCAGTGTGAGGAGTATATTGTTAGGGTATGTGAACAGAAGCCAGTGTGTGGAGTATATTTTCAGATTATATGGACAGAAGCCAGTGTGTGGAGTATATTTTCAGGTTATATAGACAGAAGCCAGTGTGTGAAGTATATTTTCAGGTTATATGGACAGAAGCCAGTGTGTGGAGTATATTTTCAGGTTATATGGACAGAAGCCAGTGTGTGGAGTATATTTTCAGGTTATATGGACAGAAGCCAGTGTGTAGAGTATATCTTCAGGTTATGTGGACAGAAGCCAGTGTGAGGAGTATATTGTTAGGGTATGTGAACAGAAACCAGTGTATGGGAAAATCTTCAGGTTATGTGGACAGAAGCCAGTGTGTGGAGTATATTTTCAGGTTATATGGACAGAAGCCAGTGTGTGGAGTATATTTTCAGGTTATATGGACAGAAGCCAGTGTGTGGAGTATATGGCCATGGATGATGTTGACTAGCTTCTTTTCCTCATAGTTTATCAGCTCAAAATTAGAGATGGCTAGCACAGATGGCCCTTTTGTAACTTTGCACGAATATCTAAAATAATAAAAAAAAAATTATTTCATGTTGTACAGACAGTGCAGTAAGTGGTATTTTCAGATCATTCAAATAGAATCACACTATGATGTCTTTTTATTCAAATTATATACATAGCATAAACCTCATGATACATAATGTGCTTCTGCAAATTGTCACTAATCATTCACTTTGATGATACTGTATCTCCGTAAAAAGTAAAAAATATACTTATTTCTAACGTTTTTGTTACAGATTTTATGTAATGGTCCTGGGACTTGCGTTCCTGTTTGTCTTGTTGCGTTCTTTCTATCTGTAAGTATTTAAAAAGTTTTTTAATTTCTTGCACATTCATTAAGACTAATGAAGGATATTTTCTGTTTCTTTTTAGAATTCTAATCTTAAACTTTAATGTTAGCTAACACTAATTATTAACAAAAGGTGGTGCTGAATGATTAGCAGTTTTGCAATTCAATTGGATTATCTATTCAATATTTGTAAGTAATTACGATTATCAATTATTCTAGTTAGGTCATTAAAAAAAAATGGGAAAAAATGACATAGAAAAAGTGCAAGAACTAATAATGTCTTGGTGTCCATTAACTTAATAAATAATACAAAATGTCTTACAGGAAAGAATAGTAATCTGAAACAAAAATTTATTTTATTGCTTTGTTGACATCTTCGAAAAGCATTATAAATACTAAATTTGTGTGTACATATATAGTTGTGTATATGTGTAGCATATATTTAAATGATAAATTTCCATCTATTACTGACTGACAAGTTGTTCTCTGTGAATTTTTTTCTGACTAAAATTGGATGCTCTACTGTGCTAGTAAAACTATTGTCACATTGTTTCTAATAAATACCACTTATTAAGCTATTTCATCAAGGGCGGATTTAAGCCTAAATGCCTAGTCAGCTAAAAAAAATGGGGCCTGGCAGGCTCTATTTATAGCAATATTATACATCAAACGAGAACAAATAATTTCAACAGATAGCTGAATAAATTGATAGACTTAATAAATAAAATGAAATAGAGTTAAAGTAATTTATTTCTAAAAACATTATATATATATATATATATATAATGTGGACCGGCCTAAAGAGGGCGACGGTCAGCTTTAGCTGACCATTGAATCCTACCCCTGTATTTCATAAGCATTCTTGGAGCTGTATATTGAACTGGAGAGTGTGTGTGTCTCTCTGCTTGCATTGCTTTAAGACTTCCAGAATGACAAACATCAGAGTGTTCTGACATGCAAGTACTCACAGTTCTTACCAAATGAAATAAATTAATCTGACTTCCTGATGTTGCTGCAAGTACTAACAGTTCTTATCAAATGAAATAAATTAATATGACTTGATGACGTTGCTGCAAGTACTAACAGTTCTTATCAAATGAAATAAATTAATCTGACTTGCTGATGTTGCTGCAAGTACTAACAGTTCTTATCAAATGAAATAAATTAAACTGACTTGATGACGTTGCTGCAAGTACTAACAGTTCTTATCAAATGAAATAAATTAATCTGACTTGCTGATGTTGCTGCAAGTACTAACAGTTCTTACCAAATGAAATAACTTAATCTGACTTGCTGAAAGTACTAACAGTTCTTATCAAATGAAGTGAATTAATCTGACTTGCTGAAGTTGCTGCAAGTACTAACAATTCTTATCAAATGAAATAAATTAATCTGATTTGCTAATGTTGCCAGGAATAAAGATAACTGACAAAAGAATACCATATAAAAGATCACAAACACGTGTACTTTTTAACACTTTCTATTTTTAATGCACAGTTTAACATTTAGAAGAAAGAAAATGCTTGTTTTCTTCTTTTCTGTTCATCCCGTAGATAAAATAATGATGAAGGCAGTGCCTTTGAGTTCTTCTCTGTTAGCAAACACACAACTGGTTCTCATTTTTTGTGTATTAATCAAATTGAAATGTACCTAACTATATAATTTTAGTTCCAAAGTTTGTTTTAATAATCAAAATCTAATCTAAGTTTAGATTAACCATTCAGCACTAGCAAAAAAGCCTTTTAAAACATATAATAGATTTTTCTTGTTTCTTTATTTTCAATATACTTATATCATTGCTGACAGCCAACTTCCTTTGTATTTTGCTATTTAAAGCTATTGCTAAAACTCCACAGAAAGTAAAAATATTGCATTAAGAAATACATTGAAATAAAACAACATTGCTTCTAAAAATGTTTTAAAATCTCACTGCGATACATTCTAAGTAGTAGAGATCATGATTTATCAAAATGTTTGTTTAAAAATGTCACCTTTTCTGTAGATAAGAATATCTCATCAAGTTAGAAGCTGTTCAGAATTATATGTCAAGTTATACTTTTGGAATGTAAGGGATGGGAGGTATGAAATATTATTCATGCATTCTTATTTTTTCTAAAGGTCATAGGTATGAAGAAAAGCACAATTGTTTATGTGGAGAGCATCTGCCGAGTACAAACACTTTCTCTTTCGGGTCAGATTCTGTATTATTTTGCTGATTATTTCTTTGTGCAGTGGCCTCAGCTGAAAGCAAGATATACACGTGCTACTTATCTAGGTCTTCTAGTAAATTAATGTTTGATTTTCTTGTCTAGGGAAGCACATTACTATTGGGCTTGCAAATTGTTGTTTGCTAATTTGCTACTAAAGTCTGTTTTAATAGAAGGTTTCTTGTTATTATGGTTTTCAGTTAAGAAATATAATGTACAAATATAGATATGCATTTTACAGTTTGTATTGGACCTGATGATGACAAAACCCTGTCGAAACATTGTACATTTGCTGTTATATTAAAGTTTTTCTTCATTACCCACTCAAGCTGTCTCCAGCCATTATTAAGACAGTGTGTTGTGAAAATAAACTTGGAATTAAATATTTACCCATATCATAAATGAATATTTAGATAAGTGAAATAGAAAGAAAATTGTGATTAAAAATCAATAAATGGACAAATTAACTTTATGTTTTGTACACTTAAATCATAGTTGGTTGATATAAAGTTATTTTACAGATAGAATTAAAGGAAAAGGTAAATGGGTTGAATTTCTAGCACAGCTCAGATAGTGCATGCTTACGTGTAAATATTAACATGATGATTTTATGTGTTAATATTGTATAAGTTGTTTTTAAATCACTACTCTCCTATGTTTTTTCTTGTTATTTTTTTATGCTCCATTTGTCAGAAGCATCATTTCAGATTTCAATGAAGAGGAGGGAGCAAGTTTTGTTTGTTTGTTTGTTTG